GGTGCTCCCTTACTTAACCCTTCTCTCAGACCCTCCTCCCCTTCCCCTCCCCCCTTTCCCCCAGAAAAGGGAACCCCCCATCCTCTCATATTAACCTTTCCCAGCAGATCAACTCACATCAGGACTGTGCATATCTTCATTTTCTGAGGCCAGGCAAGGCAGCCCTGCCACAGAGAAGTGATCCAAAAGCAGGCAATAGAGTCCATATTAGCAAGAGCCCTCCTCCACTTGGCAGGCACCCCATATGAAGACCCAGCCTCCCAACAGCTGCATGGGTGTAGGACCTCTGAAAGATTTTACCCAGCAGGGTATTGAAACTGATTCTGAGACTCATAGCCAAAATTTGGGCAAAAGCAGAGCAACAGAACAAAAAAATCTGGGCCCATGGGTCTTTTCTGAGACTGATACTCCAACCAAGTACCTAGACCAGCACCATTCCTTGAAAATGCTGTCTTTTCTCTATTGTATGATTTTGACTCCTCTGTCAAAAATCAGGTGTGCATAGTTGTATAATTTTATTTCTGTGTCTTTGATTGGATTCCACTGAGCAACCACATTTTTGTATGCAAGTATCATGTAGTTTTTATTACTATTGCTCTGTAATATAGCTTAGGTTCAGATATGGAGAAGTTCTATTATTGTATACAATTTATCTATTTCGGGTTATTTTTTAATATGACAATTATAATTGTTCCTTCAAGGTTTATGGAGAATTGTGTTTGTGTTTTGATGAGGATTGAATTGAATCTATAGATTGTTTTTGATAGGATGGTCATTTTCACTATCTTAATCCTGCTGATCCATGGGCATGGGAGATCTTTGTATCTTCTGGTGTCTTCTTTAATTTCTTTCTTCAGAGACTTGAAGTTTTTGTCAAACAGGTCTTTGACTTCCTTGGTTATTTACCTCTAGATACTTTACATTATTTTTGGCTATTCTGATGGGTGTGTTTTCCCTAATTTCTTTTTCAGCCAATTTGTCATTTGTATACAGGAGGGCTACTAAGATTTTAAAAATTAATCTGGTATCCAGCCACTTTGCTGAAGGATTTTATCAGCTACAGTTCTCTGGTAGAATCTTTGGAGTCACTTATGTATACTATCATATTATCTGTGAATAGTAATACTTTAACTTCTTCCTTTCTGATTTATATCTCTTTGATTTCCTTTTCACACAAAAACAAAAGAGTATGCTTCTTTTCAACATCACAAAAAACTTTCTCTGTAATTGTCCATATAGTTGGTAACAAAGCAAACCTCAATCGACTCATGAAAACTGAATTAATTCATTGTTCTTTATCAGATCACCATGGAGTAAAGCTAGACCTCAACTACAACAAAAACAACAAAAAGCCTACAGACTCATGGAAATTGAATAAGTCCCCACTGAAGGATAACTGTGTGAGGAAAGGAACGAAGAAACAAATTAAATATATCCTAGAATTCAATGAAAATGAGGGCACAATATACCTAAACTTATGGGACAACAAGAAAGTAGTGCTAAGAGTAAAGTTCATAGCATTAAGTGCCTCCATAAAGAAATTAGAAACCATATTATCAATTTAACAGATCACCTGCAAGCTTTAGAATGAAAATAAGCAAACTCACTGAAGAGGAATAGATGACAGGAAATAATCAAATTCAGGGCTGAAATCAATAAATTAGGGACAAAAATAATCTATATAAAAAATCAACAAAACCAAGAATTTTTCTTTGAAAAAATTAAGACAGACAACACTCTAACCGAACTCACTTGAAGACAGAGAGACAGTACCTAAATTAACAAAATAGAAACGAACAGGAGAGCATAACAACAGATACTGAGGAAATTAAAAAATCAATAGGTCTTATTTTAAAAGCCTATATTCCAAAAAATTACAAAATCTAAACAAAATGGATGATTTTTATAATAGATTTAGCCTACTAAAGTTAATCAAGAACAGGTAAACAGTTTAAACAGCACTATAACCCCCAACAAAATAGAAGCAGCCATCAAAAGTCTCCCAACAACAACAACAACAAAAATCTGGGGCTGGATGGCACGGAATCTACCTGGCTTTCAAGGGAGAACTAATACCAATACTCCTCAACTATTCCAGCAAACAGAAAGAGAAGGAACATTACCAACCTCATTCTACAAAGCCACAGTCACCCTGATACTTAAACCACACAAAGACTTAACAAAAAAAAATTTCTGACCAATCTCTATTATGAATATATTGATACAAAAATACTTAATAAGATGCTTGCAAACCATACGAAACCTTCGGCAGACTGCAGGGAAAGAAGGGGGAGTTATTATGACTTGGAAAGGATAGGAGCTCCAAAAGAACCAAATACATCTGGGCACAAGGGTCTTTTCTGAGAGTGACACTCCACCAAGGATCATGTATGGATATAACCTAGAACCTCTGTTCGGATGTAGCCCGTGGTAGCTCAGTAACCAATTGGTTTCCCATAGTAAGGGGAACAGGGACTATTTCTGACAGGAACTCAATGGCAGGCTCTTTGACCTCCCCACCCCCCAAGGGAGGAGCATCCTGCTAGGTCACAGAGGAGGATTTTGCAGTCAGTCCTGAAGATACCTGATAAAACAGGGTCAGATGAAAGGGGAGGAGGTCCTCCACAATCAGCGGACTTGGAAGGTGCAGGGAGATCAGGGAGGGAAGGTGGGGTTGGGAAGGAATGAGGGAGCAGGATAAAGCTGGGATACAGAGTTAATAAAATGTAAGTAATAATAAAAATAAAAAAGAAAAAAAAGATACTTGCAAACCGAATTCAAGAACAACATATCAAACATATTATCTACCATAACAAAATATGATTCATCCCAAGGATGCAGGGATGGTTTAACATATGAAAATCCATCAAGGTAATACACCATATAAACAAATTGAAAGAAAAAAAAATCACACAATCATCTCATTAGGTGCAGAAAAAGCCTTTAGCAAAATCCAACACCCCTTCATGATAAAAATTGTGGAGAGATTAAGGATACAAAGCTCATAGCTAAACATAATAATTAAAGCAATATACAGAATGTCAATAGCCAACATCAGACTAAATGGAGAGAAACCCAAAGCAATCCCACTAAAATTAGGGATAAGACAAGGTTGCCCACTATCTTCATATCTCTTCGATATAGTACTGGTATTCTATCTAGAGCAATAAGGCTTCGAGTTTATTTTCCATGAGAGTTTCTGGAAAGTTCTTCACCTGTTCACATACTCACTGAAAATCTTTTAGATTACAAATAAAAAGCGTATTCTGTAAATATTTATTCGTTAATATTGACATTGTGGAGCATAACTTTTGCAGAATATATATAGGCACTAGAAAGAACACTGACAACATCATAGCAAAATGAAGTTCTTCCTGCTGCTTTCCCTCATTGGGTTCTGCTGGGCTCAATATGACCCATGTACTCAGTACCGGCAGACTGCTATTGTCCACCTGTTTGAGTGGCGCTGGGTTGATATTGCAAAGGAATGTGAGAGACTTAGCTCCCAAAGGATTTGAAGGGGTGCAGGTAAGGTTTAATCAGAATTTAAACCAAACCTTTACTGTGTTAACATAAAAGAGTATTCCAATCAGGACATGTGTGTCTGGAGCACAGTTTCATATCATACATGACTTTCCTGAGGCAGAAAATTCATTTTTTGGGGGGATGGCACCTTTATATTTTGTTATAGGACCTCAGCAGGACCCCAGCAATGTCCTCTCCAAGTTTTCAGGTTGTTGTAATGCAGCAGAACTCCATGTTGGCAGGTTGAGCGGTACCATTGGATCATAGACAGGCTTCTACAGAATTTACGTGTGAGTAGTAAGCCATTATCTCCTACTGATTGTTACTGTTTTGTCTGTAGGTCTTCCCAGCCAATGAAAATATTGTGGTTCACCATCCTTTCAGGCCTTGGTGGGAAAGAAACCAGCTAATTAGCTAGAAAATTTGCACAAGGTCTGGAAACAAAGGTGAATTCAGGGATATGGTGACAAGATGCAACAATGTTGGTGTAAGTGAAGTCATATCTCCTTCAAAACCTCCTTTAAAAATAATTATGTAAATAAAAATTCTTATATATGAAAATATTTCCCTCTTATATTCTTACATTATAAAGATTTATAAATTTATAAAATAAATATATGTGTGTGTATGTATGTATATATGGGTGGTAAGGCAATTAAAGGTAGTGAATACTTTGGAAACGGTCATGTGACTGAATTCAATTTTGGAGCAAAACTTGACACACTTATCCGCAAGTGGAATGGTGAGTGTTAGAAGTCGTGCAGGATGAGAGTTACAAGGCAGTTCACGAATCACACCATGTGACCGGTTCCAATTAGGAGGTTTATTAGGGGAAGGGGAGGAAAGGGGGAAGAGAAGGGGGAAGGAAAGAGGGAAGGGGTCACAGAGACCGACTTTGGACAAGGCAGGAGAGAAAGAGAAAGAGGAGGAGCTTCGAGTTCTCTTATAAGGTGACCCAGAGCATGTGGAGGTGGTTCCAGTTGGTCCATAGATGGCTTCACGGATGCCTGATATTCGGCTTGTCAGGTCCCTTGGGGCTGGCCATAGAGATGCCTGCTTATGGATCACAACAGTGAGAAGATGTCCTATTTAAAGTAAATATACACCATTTCACCATTTGATATATCTTAGGTCTTTCATCATTTGGCATCAATAAGTTTTATCTTCTACCATTCTTTATACAATCTGAATAGTTTAATATTGGTTACATATTATTTTCTAAACCGCAATTGCTCCTCTTTTTCCATTGGCATGTCATCACCACATAGCTCTGAAAATACAAAGTAACATTTTGCCTGTTTGTGATGAGTCTATTAGATCCCAGGAATGTTTGCCTACAGTCAAAAGAAGTTTATTATTATTATTATTATTATTATTATTATTATTATTATTATTATTATTATAAATTATCCTAAAATGTGATGTGTCAACACTATGAAATTACTTGCTTTATATAAAATTAATTGGAAATTTTGAATATTTCTACTATAACAACATATTCTTAAATCCAGATTTGTAGTCTGTATCATTTAGCATGAATGCTTTATTTTTCAAGTTTATCTTAATTTAATACAATGAATAATAATATTTAAAACAAAAATTGTGTTTTTAGACCTAAATGTGGACAATGCTCCTATGTATATTATCATAGAAAAGATTATTATATATATAGATATGGATATGAAAGTTAGACTTATGGAAATGTCATTTAATTAGACAACTGAGAATTCCATAAGCAAATTTACTCTAAGCACTGTGAACAATTTGCTCTTTTTGAATGCAGGAAGTGGGGAGAAAGTAGGGGTTTGGTGCCCTCTGACGGAACCCTTGTGTTTGTGGACAACCATGATAACCAGCGAGGACATGGTGCTGGAAGAGCCTCCATCTTGACATTCTGGGATGCTAGGTAGGAAAACGTTTGGTACTGCTGTATAACCTGCTTTAATGACAGTAATACATTATATACTTCTGCTTTCATACCATTTTGAAACTTTCAGGATGTACAAAATGGCTGTGGGATTCATGTTGGCTCATCCTTATGGATTCACAAGAGTTATGTCAAGTTACCATTGGCCAAGAAATTTCCAGAATGGACATAAGTTTTGGATTTATTCAAACTGTATTTTAATCCAGAAAAGAAAGAGATTCTGTTTTAACTTCACATGAAATTATAGCATATTATACTTATTATTATTCACTACATTTTTATAAAGTAAGAACACTGAAGAAGTACCTAATAATAAAAAAGAGAAAAAGTAAGAACAATGTACAGAATGCAAAGTGGTATGTTTGACTCATACACAGAGTTGACACAGAAACGTATCTATTAATACAAAAGAAAATTTCAAAAACCCTTTCTGCCAATGGTATAACAAATATTGGCATATGTAAAATATTTTCTTCTTCATGAAATGAGAAAGCATCTGATTAGAAGTTAACTAAGGAAACTATAATAGATGGAAATGTATGAGAATTATGGAACACTAATTGGCTGACCAATCAATATATGTGTGTGAATTCATTGGATAAATTTAAACATTTTCAAAACTAAACCAAAACTTAAGACTGTAAGATACTTAAAATGTTATATGACCTTTTCTGTTTCATTGGAAGAAACTAAACTCATATATAAACATCAAATATAAAACATAAATCTCTATAAATCAGACAAATAATTTTTTTAAGTTTTCTTTACAAGGTGAGAGTCTTTTGGTTATTTATTGAAATCACTTTTATTGTTGAAGGGCTTTTATGGGTAGAATATGTGGTTTAGTTGTCAGAAACTTATTTGCAATTTTTGTCATTATACAATGTGCATTTATACTTTCTTATATTTAGTAAGAAAAGTCAGGATATTTTATTAGTACACTTTGCCAGCAAGTAGTGAGAATCAAATATTATAAGTTGGAAACTGGTATAGTAAATGCAGTTTCATAGTTGTTTTTTGATGTTTATACTAGCCAAAAACTACTTCTTTGTTTTATGTATAAACTAAGGCACGGTCATGTGATGTATCATAATGGAGATTGTTTGGGTAGTAACTGGAGCCTTTTCTTTAATGCTAGTGTTTCTGACTCTCTTTCTCTCATTCCTGTAACATTGGAGAGTTTCTAGTGACACCAAGCATAAAATAAGAGGTTTGTAAATTGTTTCTGATGTTTTAAAGATGGTCGTAGAGAACCTGAATTTTCACATCAGTCAAGGACTCAGTGAAGGTCTGTAAAACATTGAAGAACTTAGAAAAAAATTAGACACAAAAGAGACGGAATTAGCACAATGGGCTTGGCTTTAGTTTTCTGTGGAAAGAGACAGACACATGCAATCAAATGACCTATTTCTCTTAGTAATTCAGGACGTTAATGACCGGGTTGGACCACCTAATAACAATGGAGCCACCAAAGAGGTGACCATTAATCCAGACACCACTTGTGGCAATGACTTGGTCTGTGAACATGTGAACATTGATGGCGTCAAATAAGGTGAGCCTGCCTCCTCCAGCTCCTGTCTAATAAGCTGTTTAAACTTTATTTTAAATTGTGGGCATTTAAGGGTACCAACATTTTACATGATGTTGTGCTTTCAGGAACATGGTTACCTTCAGAAATGTAGTCAATGCTCAGCCTTTCTCAAACTGGTGGGATAATGGCAACAACCAAGTAGTTTTTGGCAGAGGAAACTGAGGATACATTGTCTTTAATAATGATGATTGGTAAGTGGATTTCTCTTTAAATAGTTGTTAATATTGCAATTTATTTGTATCCGTCTTTCTGTTCACTTATATTTTTCTTATGTTAATCTGAAGGATTTAAGACACAAAATGAATACTGAGATGATAGAAGACAAAGTGTTTCTTGGTTTTATATTCTTTCATTCTTTGCATAAAATTTTGCTTTTGAGATCTTTCATCACATTCTTAATATATTCCTATGTATGTGCTCATTTGGCACTTTTTCCAAAGCACACAAATAGTAAAGATAAGTTTTAATGTCAATTAAACAATGTATATTAGGACTGGAGTACTTTTCCCACTAGTTCTGAATACCGAGTATAGTTTTTATTCAATATACTAATATACACTCTTTGAGTTTCTATTGCTTGGAATAGTTTAAAAGATTTTGTATACTTGTTCCTGTTCTATAATTTTCTGCAGATTTTTTTTTAATTTGGCTTCTAAAACTTTTTTATTGTCCTTTATCTCCTGTACATCTTCTTTAATCATTTTTTTTTTTCATCTGTAAAACTGTGGCTCAACACTACAGGTAAACTGTCCAAATCTAAAGTCAGCTTTCGATTCAGTTGAGAGCATCTTAGCATGAGCTATGTTTTAATGACCAAAACCAAACATGCAAGGAACATAGTCCATACCTTTTTGTTGTTGTTGTTGCAAGAACATACAACTAGTTGTTTAGGAGAAGCAGAATCAGTTTTGTGTATAAATCAAAAGAAATGCTAGAAGGGAGGACCTCCTCCCCCTCCATCTGACCCTAGCTTATCATGTCTCCTCAGGACTGGCTGCGATGTCCTCTTTTATGGCCTAGCCAGGCTGCTCTTCCCTAATGGGAGGGGAGTGGAAGAGCTCACTATTGAGTTCATGTCAGAAATAGTCCCTGTACCCCTTATTAGAGAACCCATTTGGACACTGAGCTACCATGGGCTATATCCAAGGAGGGGTTCTAGGTTATAGCCATACATGGTCCTTGGTTGGAGAAGCAGTTAGTGGACTTGGAAAGAGGCAGGGAGAAGACGAAGGAGGGAGGGTGAAATTGGGAGGGAATGAGGAAGGGGGCTACTGCTGGGATACAAAGTAAATAACCTGTGATTAATATAAAAAATAAAAAAGTAACTAAAATATGTAAAAGGATGCTATATGTATGTGGAAGAGAGCAAGGAGGGGTACATGGGAGGGTTTGTAGGAAAAGGAAGGGAGTCATGATACAATTATATTAAATCTCAAAATATAAAAGAAAAAAGAAATGATAGGTTATGTTTATTTCTAGAGTATCACTTTTGATATCATGTAAGCTAGGAACTTTTGAAGAAGTATTGCTATCAATATTTTTTTTGTGTGTGTTTGTTAAATTTTATTTTATTTTTTTAATTTTTTATTAATTATACTTTATTCATTTTGTATCCCCCCATAAGCCTCTCCCTCCTCCACTCCCTATCCCACCCTCCCTCCCCTTTCTGCATGCATGCCACTCCCCAAGTCCACTGATAGGGAGGTTCTCCTCTTCTTTCTCATCAAAAGTGGCTGCATTGTCCTCTACTGTGGCCTGATAAGGCTGCTCCCCCCTCAGGGGGAAGTGATCAAAGAGCAGGCCAATCAGATTATGTCAGAGGCAGTCCCTCTTCCCATCACTATGTAACCCACTTGGACACTGAACTGCCATGGGCTACACCTGTGCAGGGGTTCCAGGTCATCTCCACAAATAGTCCTTCCTTGGAATATGATTTTCTGGGAAGTTCCCTGTGTTCAAATTATCTTGTTCTGTTGCTCTCCTTGTGGAGTTCCCGTCCCCTCCAGCTCTTACTATTTCCCACTTCTTACCTAAAATTCCATTCACTCTGCCCATCAGTTGGCCATCAGGCTCAGCATCTGCTTTGACAGTCTATACTGCAGAAGCTTTCAGAGGCCCTCTGTGGCAGGTTTCAAGGTTGTTTTCTGTTTTCTTCTGGCTTTCAGAGGCCCTCTGTAGCAGGTTCTAAGGTTGTTTCCTATTTTCTTTTTCTTCTGATGTCCATCCTCTTTGCCTTTCAGGATGGGGATTGAACATTTTAGTTAGGGTCCTCTCTTTTGCTTAGTTTGTTTAGATGTACAGATTTTAGTGAGTTTATTCTATATTGTATGTTTATATGAGTGAGTATATACCATGCGTGTCTTTTTGCTTCTGGGACAAATCACTCAGGATGATCCTTTCCAGGTCCCACCATTTACCTGCAAATTTCATGATTTCCTTATTTTTCATTGCTGAGTAATACTCCATTGTATAGATGTACCACAGTTTCTGCATCCATTCTTCATTTGAGGGGCATCTGGGTTGTTTCCAGCTTCTGGCTATTACAAATAAAGCTGCTACAAACATGGTTGAGCAAATGTCCTTTTTGTGTACTTGTGCCTCTTTTGGGTATATGCCTAGGAGTGGTATGGCTGGATCTTGAGGAAGCGCTATTCCTAGTTGTCTGAGAAAGCGCCAGATTGATTTCCAGAGTGGTTGTACAACTTTACATTCCCTCTCCAGCATGTGTTGTCCCTTGAATTTTTCATCTTGGCCATTCTGATGGGTGTAAGGTGAAATCTCAGGGTTGTTTTGATTTGCATTTCCCTAATGGCTAATGAGGTTAAGCATTTCTTTAAGTGCTTCTCTGCCATTCGATATTCCTCTACAGAGAATTCTCTCTTTAGCTCTGTTCCCCATTTTTTAAGTGGATTACTTGGTTTATTGCTTTTCAGCTTGTTTAGTTCTTTATATATATTGGATATGAGTCCTCTGTCAGATAAAGGGTTGGTGATGATTCTTTCCCAATCTGTAGGCAGTCGATTTGTTTTGATGACAGTGTCCTTTGCTTTACAGAAGCTTTTCAATTTCATGAGGTCCCATTTATTGATGGCTGCTCTTAGAACCTGTGCTGTTGGTGTTCTGTTCAAGAAGTCGTCTCCTGTACCAATGAGTTCTAGGGTATTCCCCACTTTTTTTTCTAGCTGATTTAATGTGTCTGGTTTTATGTTGAGGTCTTTGATCCACTTGGACTTCAGTTTTGTGCAGGGTGATAAATATGGATCTATTTTCATTTTTCTACATGTAGACATCCATTTGGACCAGCACCATTTGTTGAAGATGCTATCTTTTTTCCATTGTATGGTTTTGGCATCTTTGTCAAAAATCAGGTGTACATAAGTGTGTGGGTTTATTTCTGGGTCTTCTGTTCGATTCCATTGATCCCCCTTTCTGTTTCTATGCCAGTACCATGCAGTTTTTATAACTGTTGCTCTATAGTACAGCTTGAGATCAGGGATAGAGATACCTCCAGAAGATCTTTTATTGTAGAGGATTGTTTTTAGCAATTTTCGGTTTCTTGTTATTCCATACGAAGTTGAGAATTTTTCTTTCCAGGTCTGTAAAGAATTGTGTTGGCAACTTGATGGGAATTGCATTAAATCTGTAGATTGCTTTTGGTAAGATGGCCATTTTTACTATGTTAATCCTGCCAAGCCATGAGCATGGGAGATCTTTCCATCTTCTCATATCTTCCTCTAATTCTTTCTTCAGAGACTTGAAATTTTTTTCATACAAGTCTTTGACTTGCTTGGTTAGGGTTACACCAAGGTACTTTATGTCATTTGTGGCTATTGTGAATGGTGTTGTTTCTCTAATTTCTTTCTCAGCCCTTTTGTCTTTTGTATACAGGAGTGCTACTGATTTTTTTGAGTTAATTTTGTATCCGGCCACTTTGCTGAAGGTGTTTATCAGCTGTAGGAGTTCCCTGGTAGAGTTTTTGGGGTCACTCATGTATACTATCATGTCATCTGCAAATAGTCATAATTTGACTTCTTCCTTTCCCATCTGTATCCCCTTGATCTCCTTCGACTGTCTTATTGCTCTAGCAAGGACTTCCAGCACTATGTTGAAGAGATATGGAGAGAGTGGGCAGCCTTGTCTTGTCCCTGATTTCAGTGGGATTGCTTTAAGTTTCTCTCCGTTCAATTTGATGTTGGCTATAGGCTTTCTGTATATCGCGTTTAGTATGTTTAGATATGTGCCTTGTATCCCTGATCTCTCCAGTATTTTAAACATGAATGGATGTTGGATTTTGTCAAATGCTTTTTCAGCATCTAGTTAGATTATCATGTGGTTTTTTTTCTTTCAGTTTCTTAATATGGTGGATCACATTGATGGATTTCCATATACTGAACCACCCCTGCATACCTGGGATGAAGCCTACTTGGTCATAGTGGATAATATCTTTGATGTGTTCTTGGATTCGGTTTGCTACTATTTTGTTAAGTATTTTTGCATCAATGTTCATAAGGGAGATTGGCCTGAAGTTCTCTTTCTTTGTTGAGTCTTTGTGAGGTTTAGGTACCAAGGTGATTGTGGCTTCATAGAATGAGTTTGGTAATGTTCCTTCTGTTTCTATTTTGTGGAATAGTTTGAAGAGAATTGGAGTTAGCTCTTCTTTAAAGGTCTGTTAGAATTCTGCACTGAAGCCATCTGGTCCTGGGCTTTTTTTGGATGGGAGACTTTTGATGACTGCTTCTATTTCTTTGGGGGATATAGGACTATTTAATTGATTTACCTGGTCCTGATTCAGCTTTGGTAAGTCAAATTGATCAAGAAAATTGTCCATTTCATTTAGATTTTCAAATTTTGTGGCATAGAGACTTTTGAAGTAAGTCCTAATGATTGTTTGGATTTCCTCAGTGTCTTTAGTTATGTCCCCCTTTTCATTTCTGATTTTGTTGATTTGGGTGGTGTCTCT